ACAGGGGAACAGGGCACCAAGGGGGACAGACAGGGGGACAGGGCACCAAGGGGGACAGACAGGGGCACCAAGGGGGACAGACAGGGGCACCAAGGGCTGTGCTGGCAGAACTTGCTGCACTCTGAGGTGTCCCTGTGTTTCTGAGAACCGAACCAAGCTGCTTTCAGGCTGTGGTAGGAGGGAGGATGGTGGGGGAGCTTTGTGATTTGGAAATCACTTCCCTGAAAAACCAAAAAAGCAGAATGGCACCTTGTGCTGGTGTTTTTACCTTCTAAATTTCAAGCAGCCTCGGATCACCTCCTGCCACAGGAGCTGCTGCACAGGAAGGGGCTCAGGGATGGATTTGAGCTGTCTCTGTCTAGAACATTCCTCCTGCCCATGCCTCTCCCTCACACAAACAACTCTTCTGCACACACAGAGTGCCCTGACAGGCTCAGGCAATGCACCAAAAGTGCTCTGGAATATGGTCCCTGGAGGTGATGGGCCAGCTGCTGGTGAGGATCTGCCTTTCAATGTGGTTTTCTTTTTCTCTTTGTCTTTTTTTGTTTGGTTTTGTTTGTTTTTCAGGTTTCTGGAGAACAAGGTGATACACAAAATGATTTCCTTAGTCCACACGCTGTGGCTAACAAATTTAGGAGACAAGAGACAAAACAAGAATCAATCCCAGGAGAAGAGGAAACTTCTTCCTATTCAGCTTGTAAATGAATTTCTGTGTGTTTTGGTGGCGTTAATCAAACATATTCGGTGAGTGCTTTGTTTTGGTTTTTGGTTTAGTTGGTTTGCATTTCATCCTCTGCCCAGTTTGAACTTCATTAAGGCCAGGAGGATTTCGGTATCTCTGCTAGAGGGATGGCGTTTTTCACCTTCAGTTTGTGTGCTGAGTAGTGAATTTGGATCAGGTTTCTTTGACAGGAGCATTTAGGTGTTTGAATACAGGGGGAATAAAGTACAATGTGATGCACAGTTGTGTCGAGTCCTTTGTCCCTAACTCGTGGCCATTCTACAGCAGAGATTAGGAGCTGTGCTGATGAATTAGCATGCATGGCACTTGTGTTTCCTCTTGCCAGGGCTAACACAGACCTGGCCAGGCTGGCTGAGCTGTTCGGCACCCTCAGCTCCGTGCTGCAATACCGTGCTGGGGTTGTGGAGGCGTTCAGGGACATGAGGCGATTCACGGTCAACGCCAGCGTCCTCTCCAGCCGGGAGCTGCTGCTGCTGCTGCACAGGTGGAGCCTGGTCAGCGCAGACCCGCAGCTGCAGCAGGACCTGCAGGCCCTGGCCCACAAGTACCAGCACAAGGAATTGCTCAGTAAGTGCTGAAATGCCTCAAGGAAGGTTTGTTTTGTTGTGGCTGTTACAGAGCAGCAGTTCAAGTGAGGCAGACTTGTCTGAAATAATGCTAATGCCTTCTGTCAGACTGATGGACCTTGAGGGAGGAGGAAAGGACATGGAAAGGCATTTTTCAGGCCTTCCTTGTGGTGATCTAGAACCTTACCACAATTTGGAAGCTTTGGAGAAACACAATTTATGAAGGGAAAGAGCTTTAACATGAAACTTAGTGGCAAATCAGGCTTTGACAAAGGGTATTCTTTAATGGAATATTAAGAGAAAAAGCAGTGCCTGGAGGCTTTGTGCTCAGTGGTGTGAATCATTCTGAGCGTGGATGGGGATCTGAAAGTGATGTGTAAATAAAAACAATAAATAAATAGAACAAGTGAAAGGTAATAGTTGGTGTCTCTTGTTATCACCAGTGTTGAAGAAAGGAAAAAAAGCCAGGACTTGTAATGACAGAATCCACACAGGAGAGCACCTCACTTGCACAATTTTGTGCCAGGAAAATCCTTTGGAGTGTCTGATGTTTGTTTTTTGGTGGTTCTCTTCTTACAGAAAATATCAAAGACAAGAACAAAGCTCCAGCCTCATGTCCTGTGTACGGTCACCCTCGGAAAAGGAGCGAGGTGGCAGAAGATGACACTGCTGCAGACGTGGCAGTGTCAGAGCTGGAGAAATGCAGAGAGCACCTGAACTCCATCCTTGCCCATTGGGACCCCGGTTTGGCAGCACCGCCCTGCACGCAGCGAGGGGACGCCCTCGGGGCCGCTGGGGCTGGGGGCGAGGCAGGGGCCGTCACCTGCGCCTCCATTCTCGTGGTCACCAAGCTGCTGCTGCGGTCCCTGGCCGGGCAGAGCCCCCTCGGGGAGCAGCACGTGTCCCCGGTGCTGAGGTGGCTGCAGAGCCGTGTCCTGCCGCACCCGGCGGCAGCGCAGGAGCTGCTCGGGGACGGGGCGCTGAGGAGCGGCCTCCTGCAGCTGCACACGCGGCTCTGCCAGGCCGGCGGCGCCCCGGGCGGGCTCTGCGGGCAGCTCGGGGCGCTCAGCTCCATCATGCTGCAGCTCGTGGAGCAGCAGGGCCCGCCCGGGCCCTGCCACGGGCTGGTGGCATCGCTGTGCCCGCCAGCAGCGCTGCAGCAGGACGCGCACGAGACAGGTGAGCTGGCCTGTTCCTGTCACTCGTGTAGGGGCAGTGCTGGGAGAAACGAGGAGATTCCAGGGCTGGTTTGATCCGTGGAATCAGCCGTGGCCAGCCAGGCTCGTGGCTGCCCAAGCAGGAGCTGTGTCTGGTGGGATGGGGCAGGGGTGGGCAGCACAGAGCGGAGTCACACTGGGAGGGTTTCTGGCACTGCAACACTCCCACTCCCTCTGAGGAACTTCCTTTAAAGGACTAAAATGGAACAAAAGGTATAAATAAATATAATTCCAAGAGTGAAAATAGTTTGCAAAAAAACCCGGTTCCACATGGGCCTGGATGCTGATCCTCACTGCTGTCAGAGAGAGAGCTGCCAGGTCAGATTTCAAACTGCTTTATTGAACAGGAAACTGGTTTGTTCCTTCCTGACAGCTGGGAGTGTGTCTGTGCCTTTGCATGGGCAGAGCCCCTCCAGATTTTCCAGCTAGGAAAGAGTTGGGAACTCTTTCACAGCACAGTCCTGGAGGCACCAACAGCTTGGCTTGGGGATGCTGTGGGGAAACAGAAGAATGTCTGCTCTGATTTTTCTCTCCCCTTTCTCCCACAGCTGTGTCTGTGTTCCTGACTTCCATTTACGTCGGGGACACGTGGCTGGGAGCACAGCAGCCGGATCTGTTCCTCACCCACGCCAGACTGGTCTGCTCTAGCGCAGACTGGGAATTACAGGGTGACCGGGACACTCGGAAACAAGGGGAAGAAACTCTTGTGTCTCTTTGCAGAAAGATTTGGCTCCATCAGGGCAATAATTCAGGGGACTGACACTGATCCGTAACGTTCTTCTGTGCCCCGTCCTCATCACCGTGAGGCCTGCGAGCCTCCTGAGCTGTTCTCATCCAGACCTGCCTTGTTTGGGCACAAAAATCACTATTTTATGACTGGGTGCAAACTCAGGGGCAAGATTTTATTCACCATCTCTCAGAGGGATATTAAAGCTCCAGTTTCCCTCTCCTTGAACAGTTTGAGAGACAGTGCTGCTTATATAATTTTTATTACAGGCATTTTTATCTTTTTGAAGAAGCAGAAAGTCTGTTTGTGCACGTGTGTGCCCTTAGTATCCATCCTCTCTCTAAAACAGGACAGGAAAAAAAGGCTGCAGAGCTTCCCACAATGGGGTGTGAGTGCCAAGAACATGGAGACAGAGGCAGACTGGACTCGGGGATCAGGATGGTCTGCTTGGGTTTAAAAAGCTTGAATGGCACTTCAAGACATTTATATCAGATGTGGTTTATTTTTATTATCCTTTTTTAAAATAAAATAAAATTCAAAAAATTCAAGCCCTGATCCATGGCTGCTGCTGCCATGTGCAACACAAACCCATCTTCCCTCTGCCCAGAACAGGGGAGAGATGGAACTGAACCCCAAAGGATTTTCAGCTCAGTGATTATCCGTGAGTTTTATTGGGAACTCTCAGGGAAATCTGATCCATTGTTCTGCAGTGTGGCTGTGAGGGTGGTTGAGCAGCCAGTCCAGACCTGCAAACACACAGTGCCACAGTGAGAGGCTTGGAATTGTAAACCAGGGTTTATTCAATTGAATCACAGCTGTGTGCTGTGCCCAGGTCCTTTGTACAAATAGTGTACGGGGAAAAACCAGAACTGCACATTGCTTGTGATATGGATGGAATTTTGGGGGGGTAAATAAAATCGAGATGCAAATGAGGGAATTGTTTGTATGTGTAAATATTCTTATCCTAAAAGAGCCCTCAGCTCTGTCCCGAGAGTTGAGTTCAAATGACATTTCTTTACAAACCCGCAAGCCTTTTGGAAGCTGCAGTTTGTGTCATGTAGAATTCCCAGGGGCTGCCAGCAGGAAATCTGTGAGCGGAATCCAGCTGGGCTCGGCCGAACCGAGCCCGCCGCTCTCGTGCGCGCTAATTAGCGCGAGTGCTAATTAGCACAGCCCAATGAGCTCCTGTGCCACCCCGCGCTCCCGGTCGTGTCGGTGCGATGGCCGGGCCGCCCGCGGGACGCGGCAGCAGGAGCGCCCCGAGCCGGGCGAGTTTAACGTGAGGCGGCGCCGCTTGCCCGCCCTCGGGGAGGCGAGCCGAGCCGAGCTCAGCCGAACGCGCAGAGAGCGGCTCCGAGTTCGGCCGAACCCAGCCGAGCTCAGCCGAACGGAGCCGAGCCGCGCCGAACACACCGAGCGGCGCCGAGGTCGGCCGAACCGAGCCGAGCTCAGCCGAACTGAAGTTCCGCGGAACTTGTATTTCCCGATGTGTAAAATGACAGGGACTCTGCTGTATTTCAACACACGAGGAAGAACAGCAGCAAAAGCTCCCCCTGAGGTTAATTTACCCCCTTGGAGCCAACTAACACCACAAAAGGCAAATACACTGAGAGTAAATAGGCTATATTATTTATTGTTTTCTTCCACCGCCCCTTGGCGGCTTTCTTTAAAAAAAAAAAACAAAAAAAAACATTACTGACACCTTGAGCACGTCCCGCAGCATTCCTAAACTTCAAACCACTGGGATCGCACAGGGATTCCAACACACTTCGCTGGCGAGCGCTCGGTCCTTGCACCAGGATCAGCCCCGAGTGCTCTCGCGCCCGTTAATTAGCGCGAGCGCAGTCACTGCCTAATGAGCTCCTGCCCGAGCCCGCGCTGCCGTTCGTGGCCGTGCTGGAAGGAACGAAAAGGAGGTGTTGTCTTCACAAACAAACTGCGGGGCTGCAGGTAGGCAAACCCAGACACTGAGAGGTGAAAGAAGTAATGAACAGAACCGTAAATTCCAGAGGAATTCCGCTAATTGACAGAGACTGGTGCCCACCCAAGCCCGTGCTGAGTTCCTGGACTTGAAGAAAAAGAACACAGACACAAAGAAAAGGAAGGGGGAGATGCACATCAGAAGGCGATCTGTATTAGGCGACTTGGGGAAGTTTGTACCTCTCAAGTACCTCAGCGGATGGGGAAGACAGAGGGAAATGCGTCCGAGAAATTAGGATAAAAAGGAGGCTGCGTCCTCCAGTAACTTGAGACATCCGTGGGAAATGCCCATGGCCTCTCCCTTTATTCAAATAAAGCTACAGGACTCCAGTGTCTCCTTTTGGACATAAACTTACGGTGTTTGTGGACTAATCTTCCTGACAGTGCGATGGCTGGACCGCACGCGAGACGCGGCAGCCGGAGAGCCCCGAGGTTTGTGTATTTAACGTGAGGGGGCGCCGCTTTCCCGCCCTCAGGGAGCCGAGCCGAGCCGAGCCGACGGAGCGAGCGGCTCCGAGTTCGGCCGAACCCAGCCGAGCTCGGCCGAACACAAGAGCAGCTCCGAATTGAGCCGAACCTAGCCGAGCTCAGCCGAACGGAGAGAGCAGCTCCGAGTTCAGCCGAAACGAACCGACCTCAGCCGAACGGAGCGAGCGACTCCGAGTTCGGCCGAACCGAGCCGAGCTCAGCCGAACGGAGAGCGCGGTTCCGAGTTCGGCCGAACCCAGCCGAGCTCGGCCGAACACAAGCGCAGCTCCGAGTTGAGCCGAACCTAGCCGAGCTCAGCCGAACGGAGAGAGCAGCTCCGAGTTCAGCCGAACCCAGACGAACTCAGCTGAACCGAGCTGAGTAATTAAAAAAGCAGAAACAAGCCCCAAAGTCTCGGCAGCAGGCCCGGCACAGGGAGGCAGGGTTGGAATTCTCTTTGCTATGCTGCAGGTGCATTCAAGACATCGTTCCTCTTCGTTTTACAGAAGGAAGACCAAAGAAAAATTCTTACCAAAATAGGATGTTTTGTTTCCTGTCTATCCAGCAGCCAAATAGCACCAGCTAGCTATCTATACCTTAAAATCAGCTGAGGAACTGACCTCGGCCCAGGCAGAATCACAGAACTAAAGCTGAGATAAGAAACACCTGAAAAAGCCTTTCATTCTGGATGTTAACACATATCATTGAGGCAAACGTTGATGCTCTGTGTCCCAGCAGAGTGACCATCAGCTGCCTTGGCAGCAGATGGGTTTGGGATCTGTGGTCCCTTTTGTCTTATTTCTGTGGGATGGTGCAGTGCTGACAAAAGGGACTGAGACGTGGATCCCTCCCTGATCCCTGCAGGGCTTGTACAGGCATCAGCCCTCCCCACTCTGCCAAAGCCACCCACCAAAACTGGCACCATGTCACTGGGGACTGCAGGGAAGTGTGTGCTGCAATTGGATCATGGATTCCAGTCCAGGAGCTCTCTGTGTCTCAGGATTCAGCTGTGGCACAGGCCTTCAGGGGACACTCGTCAGCGATTGTTTCTGTGCAGATGTGCAGGTAAGAAGCAGGGACTCAGCTCTGGAGAGCACTGAGCCCTTGCCAAGGGAGTTCACCCTTGGTGTTACCCCCTGGGGCAGGAGAGGGGTGTCCTGCATGGCCAAAATGGCATCAACTCTGCATCAAATGAGGTGGGAGGATTCTGCCCCTCTCCCCCACTGAGGTGAGACCCCACCTGCAGAGCTGCCCCAGCCCTGGGGTCCAGCACAAGAAATCTGTGGAGCTGTTGGAACAAGCACAGAGGAGCTGCTGCAGGGCTGGAGCCAGGCTGGCAGAGCTGGGGGGGCTCCCCTGGAGAGGAGAAGCTCCAGGGAGAGCTCAGAGCCCTGGCAGGGCCTGAAGGGGCTCCAGGAGAGCTGCAGAGGGACTGGGGACAAGGATGGAGGGACAGGACACAGGGAATGGCTCCCACTGCCAGAGGGCAGGGATGGATGGGATATTGGGAATGAGGAATGTTCCCTGGCAGGGATGGATGGGATATTGGGAATGAGGAATGTTCCCTGGCAGGGGGCTGAGGGAGGACGTGGGTGATCAGGGAGAGCACAGGGGCCCTGGTGTCCCTGGGCTGGCAGAGATGGATGAGCACAGAAGGGATGAAGGTGAAGCTCTCCAGCCTTGAGCAGTGACGTGAGCGGGCATTTGCTGCGTGAATATATCGGGATTATCAGCAGGAAAGGGACAGGAGGCTCCTGACAGACACTGGTGATTGTCATGCCAAGGGCAGGACTGGTGACACAGCAGAGGGGTGGCAGGGCAGGGGTGCAGGTTCACACTGGAGGCATCTTTCCAGCAGCATGCTGGGTTTTGGTGCTGGAATTGCGGGGAGTGGAATTGAAGTGGGGCTGAGAAAACAAACAGAACTCGACCCCAAAGGGCAAGTTTTGTGTGTGACTGGGTTTAATAGCTTCTTCAGTCCTAAAACTGTTTTCTCACAGTATTTCAAGCCTAGGAAAATGATAACATGGGATGGTTTCAAAGCCTAAACAAATCTCATTGAATGCTGGTTTTCATTAATGATTTCTGGGCACTCCAGACTTGCCTTGTTCACAATGGCTCCTTTGATTTCCAAAACTGAATGCATGAGGGATAAATGTGTGTATTTTTGAGCCAAGTATTTTGCTCAGTAACATGATGAAAAAGTGAAAAAAACTTTAAAAATCAACACTTTGTTTAAGTCTTGCAAACGCTCTGAGATTTTCATGCACACAGAGTTCTCCTGCCAGTTTTTTAGGAACAGTAAATTGCTGGTAACATGCCTGTGTTACCCTGCCATTTAATGTCCATTTCCATGTCTGTTGTGTTGTTAATCCACCTCCTGCTTTGTGGTTTATTTGGGTAAACTGCCTTTTTTTTATTGTTTTTGTTACCTTTTGTGAGCATGCCAGAGGCCCTTGGGTGCCAATAAATGGGAATATTAGTGCTCCCTCTGACTGCTGCTTCCCTCTGCTTGCTTGTGACCTAATCCTGAATCTCTGCCCAGCCTGCTGGGTTGAATTTTCCTGCTCAGAAAAGGAGGAGCAGTGGGTCAAGAGACGCTCCAGCCAAACACTGACAGGAGAAGCTTCACCTCTGTGCAGTTACAAATGTTCTGTGTCACGGCTGCATCACTCGAGGCACTGAGTGTTTCCCACGGGTTATTTTTTCACACTGATATCTACTTGCTTTATCTCTGATTACTCTTGCTTTATCTGTGGTTGTACTCACTTGGCTGGTGTTGATCCAGAGCAGGACATGCAGAGCAGAACGAGGAAGAGGAACATCACAAAGGCGGCGAGGCCGACCCAGAAGGCGATGACGATGGAGTCTGTGGGCACAGCAGAGGGTTCTGTCATTTGGCAAGGCAGAAATTAAAAACACAGCAAGGTGATTTGCCCTCCCTGCTGCAGGTATGTCATCTGTCTCATTTCTCCTTTCAGAGACAGGGTCTGGGTGCCAGTTTGTTCAAGGTCTTGGGAGCCTCCTGACAGTGGGCATGAGGGAGGGAAAAGCCTCTGGCGTGTCCTGGTGCCCAGACCTGTGCAGATAACTGAACGTGGCTCCTGTTACACAAGCACAGGGCAGGAAGCCTGAGTGGTCACTGCCTAATCCTGCAGGGTCTTTAAGGAGAGGCCCTCAGGGAGGGAATCCCAGCCCTGGAAGCATTTTAAACCAGGAGAAATAGCAAGAGGGGTTTGTTGCACGGGGCCTGTGCCCCTCCCAGCACATCAGGGCAGTGGAAGGGAAGGGAAGGGAAGGGAAGGGAAGGGAAGGGAAGGGAAGGGAAGGGAAGGGAAGGGAAGGGAAGGGAAGGGAAGGGAAGGGAAGGGAAGGGAAGGGAAGGGAAGGGAAGGGAAGGGAAGGGAAGGGAAGGTGCCCCTTGCCCTGCAGCCTCCGTGGAGGGGTGCAAGGGGCTGCCTGCTCTGCCAGGAGCACTTGGTTTATCTGAGGAACAGATTGCCAGTGCCCTGGTGTGCCCACAGTGGGAGGGTGAGGTGGCTGGGGGATCAGGGGGAGCTGCTCTCTCCTGCAGGCTGCACTGCTGTGCCAGTTTGATTGCCTGAGCCCTGGGCTCACTGAGAATTTGATTGCCTGAGCCCTGGGCTCACTGAGAACCTGCTCCTGCTCTCTCACACAGGCTCCAGTGCTGTGCCAGTTTGATTGCCTGAGTGCCCAGTGCTGTGCCAGTTTGATTGCCTGAGCCCTGGGCTCACTGAGGATCTGCTCCCATCCCCACGGCACCTTTGGCCACTGTCCCACAGACGCTCCCTCCTGGGGCCACTGTGCTGGCCTTGGGAAGTCTGGGTGCCCTGCCCTGGATTCACAGCAGACGAGGTGGAAAAAGAAGGGTCACTGGCTCCAGGGACAAATATTGACTGAGATAAAATAAATCTTCCCCCTGAAAGCACAGAAAACATTGTGTTCTCTGAAACAGGTCCGGTATGTTTGATTGAGCGTTTCTTTGTGAAAAAGTTCAGGATGTGTTGGCATCAAAGGCACAAAGAGATTAAGGGAATTAGCCCAGCTCCTTTTAAACCCAAAACCAGAGCTGGCCCAGCTCTGCCCTGATCAGAAACCTGAGTTTGGGCTGGGCTGCTGAGAGATATCAGTGGGGAGGGGCAGCCTATTTTATTCTTCCCTTGCCCAGGGACATTTTGAGAAGCCCAAAGCTTTGAAGTGTTCCACACCACTGGGACAGAAATTAAGAGTTTGGATTTATAGAATTCCCTGTCAGAGCTATTCTGGCTTCATCTTTTAAAAACAGTTTTAATAGATTTCATGGGATTCACTGAAGCTAAATAAATTGGCTCCAGGGCTCAGGTGGAGCTTGAACCAAAATTTCCTGGGTTTAAATTCTGCAGTTAGTTGGGTTTTGTTTGTTTGTTTTCTTGCTTTTGTTTGGTCTTCTTGGTTTGTTTGGTGTGGGTTTTTTTCTTTGATTGGTTTGGTTTTTAACTGGAATAATGTATTTTCATATTTTACCAATCTATAAAGAGCTTTCCTGCTGCCAAATTTTACCATCACCTTTTGTGCATGTCTGTGTGCATGCTTTTAAATAGCCTATTAGATCACGGGCTAATTAAGATTTTTCATTATTTTCGTACAAAATTGAGAGAGATGCACAACACTACAAACAGAAAGCAAGACCGTGGATTTTTATCTGTGTTTAGATTAATTTTTATGAGACAAATTGAGTCTCAACAAGTTTCAGGGACCAGCCACGTAACAGAAGGAAGGAAGTGCAGAGATTCAGGTCTCTGTTTCACATTAAAAGAATTTAAAAAATCCTGTGAGGCAAAACTGAGAGCACACAAAGCCAATATTCCCAGCAGCAGCTTCTCTCAGTATAGGAATGTAAATATTGTGCAAGGACAGGCAAAGAATATTCATTGCTTGACTGGTACTTTTACTCCAAACAGTGAAAAATCCCAAGCAGGGATTTGTGGAATTGTTTCCCTTGGTGTTTTCATTAGAACTTGTGAGCCACTGTTCACCCACTGGGATGTGGAGGAGGAAGGATAATAGCTCCAAGAGGATGCACTCTCTGTTCCTCCACAAAACTGTCAACCAATTTAAATTAAATTTGACTGAGGGCGAGCATCTTGTCTCAGCAGCACAGTTTCTACAGATTTCAAGGACAGAGGCAGCTGAGGAAAAATGCCCTGTGAATTGCCTGGGAGGGAAGTGCTGTACAACAAATGCCACCTCTGCTGTGCACCAGTGATCCAAGTGGGAGGAAAATATTACCAAGGAGAAAACGGGAAAGGTTTATTCCTGATTTTTGGGTTTTGCTACACCAGCCGCATGCCAGGGACTTACATCTAGCTCAGCTCAGCAGTTTGGGGTTTCCCTAGTGGAATCTGGGGGTAATCATCTGCCCTAACTTTAAAATTAAGAGAATTTTAGATGAGCTGCTCCTGGTCCCAGCAGCACCAAATGTTGCTCTGCAGCATTAGAGAGCAAGATTTTCTGTATGGAGGGATGGGGATATTCACAGCACTTTCTTTAAGGTGTGGAGCTCTAAGTTTGGAGGCAATGAACCCTCGGCTGACCTGAATGCACAGAAAAGCTTTTCTAGGGTAAGTTTCTGCTCTTTTCCCTACTGCTGTCCAAGCAAGCAAAGGACAAGCAGCTCCTAGCAGAGAATTCAACCTTCACCACCAGAAAGCCAGTTTCTTGCACTGTTAGTGAGAGAGACATGAAGGTATTCTGAAAGGCCATTACATTTTCCTGGGATATATAATAATTGCACTGTAATAACCTTGGGAAAAAACAATTTTAGTTTCTAAATCCACATCTGAACAGTTTCAGCCATCCTCAGGGATGGGAGGGAAGGTGAAAGAATATGTTTGCAGCTTACTGTTCCTGGCTGGTGGAAGCATACATTTCCTTTAGTAAAAGTCTGAATGCTTACCAGTTGCATTGTCAGCCTTGTCCCAAGATGAAAACACAGTGTTTTTCTGAAAACCTCTGCTCCTTCAGTGAACTTTGGTGGCAGTAGCACACAGGTAACTAGCACCCCACACTACAGATTCACAAGTAATCACATTTCCCCTTAGCAAATAGCTAAAAAATAAAGTAATCTGTCCTTGTAAACAAGAATTAGTGTCAGTAGTCTTAGAGCTTCAGATACTGTAAAATAAAGCCCAGAGTGTTTGTTAGTAACTGTCCAGCCTGAAGGCAAACACCCATTCACACAAACCAGGCACTGGCACGGACTCTACTGCAAGGAAACAAAACCAGGTCAGTGAGACAAGCAATGCAACATTTTCCCTGTGCTAGATTAGCACCTACCACTCCACAGTACTTACATTTATTAACCTTCAGCTTGCTTCCATCTACTGGAATTGGATCTATGTAATCCCAGTAATACTCGTAGGACCAGAAGTACTCGGAGGAGTTTGTGCTGTTGGCCATGTCAGCGGCGCCTTTTCAGCAGCCCAGAACTCCGACCCAGAGCTTTGCCTCATGGTGCTGCATTGCCCTCAGAAAGGGAATTGCACAACCGGCGCCTGTGCCAATCGCTCGGGTCCCGCGGCTCAAGGACTGCCTGGGGGCTGGAAATATCAGTGAGACAGTAACTCGTGTTGTTACTCCTCGGGATGTTTCAAACTGAGGCGGGTGCCTGTAACCGAGGGACGGGGTGGACAGGTGCCACCTGGATCACAGGCCCTTCCGTCGGAGCAGTGCTCTGTTCTGGGAGCTCCGGAGCACGGCCGGGCCGGAAAACATTCCCGAATGTGTCTGGTGGGAAGGGCTGGCTGTGCAGGGCCCACACCAGCAGTGGCTGAGGGCTTGTTCAGCCTGGAGGGGGCCGAGGTCAGGGCTCACGGGGCTGCGGCTCCTCCTGAGGGCAGCTCCGGGCTCTGCTCCCCGTGGCCAGGGACAGCACCCAGGGAGGGGCTGCAGCTGGGTCTGGAGGGGTTTCGGCTGGATTTCAGGAAAAGGTTCATCCCCAGAGGTGCTGCGCACTGCCCAGGCTCCCCAGGGCATGGGCACAGCCCCACAGAGCTCCAGACCCACTGGAGGGGTTTAGGCTGGATTTGAGGGAACTGTTCACGCCCAGAGGGTGCTGGGCGCTGCGCAGGCTCCCCAGGGAATGGGCACGGCCCCACAGAGATCCAGGAGTGTTTGGAGAGCGCTCCAGGGATACTCAGGGTGGGATTGTTGGGGGTCTGTGCAGGGCCAGGGGCAGGACTGTATGATCCTTGTGGGGCCCTTCCAGCTCGGGAAGTTCTCTGAATTAGGAGTGACTTGATAAAACGCTTCATGTACTGGAATACCCACATCCTTTGCTTTGGTTCCACGACCTTACGAGGTCCAAACGCCCCCGGGCGGTGCTGAGGCGGCTCCGGGAGCAGTTCCGGGGCAGCCTCGGTGCTGAGGCGGTTCCGGGGCCGGCCCCGGGAGCGGTTCCGGGGTCATGTCCGGTGTCACTGCCGCTTCCTCGGCGGGCGATTCGAAGGCGATGCTGGGGACCGGTGCCTCGGCGGGCGAGCAGGACCCGCTGTCGCTGTGCCCGGCGCTCGAGCAGTCGCTGTCGCTGCTGGAGTCGGGCGCCAGCCAGGCGGAGCGGGAGCGGGAGCGGGACGAGGCGCCCATGCCCATGGTGTTCCTGTGCGCCGGCTGCCGGCGGCCCGTGGGCGACACGTCCAGCTGGGTGTCCAACGACGAGGCGAGCGGCTGCATCCTGCTGCGCAGTGAGTGCCGGCCCCGCGCCCCGCGGGTCCCTTCACGGCCGCCATCCCTCCATCCCTCCTTCCCTCCCGCTGCAGGTGTGGCCGCCAGCGTCGCCGTGGACCCGGAGCGGAAGATTTCCAACCTGCCCGGCGAGTGCGGATGGTGAGGGCCGGCCGTGGCTGGGCACAGCCCCGGGGAGGTCGGGGGATCCCGGGGAACGTGCTGGGGACAGCCCCGGGGTGGGCGGGGATCCCGGGGACAGCCCCGGTGCAGGGCCCGCAGTGCCGGTGTGGGCCTGGAACTCTCATTTGTGTGGGGTGTGCTGTGTGGCCTGAGGGACAGGGATACCTCACAGGGACAGGCATGGACAAGGGGAATGGCCTCAGCATGAAGGAAGGCAGGTTTAGATTCAGTGTCAGAAGAAGTTTTCCCTGTGAGGGTGGGCAGGCCCTGGCACAGCTGTGGCTGCCCTGGATCCCTGGCAGTGCCCAAGGCCAGGCTGGACACTGGGAGCAGCTGGGACAGTGGCAGTGTCCCTGCCATGGCAGGGGTGCGATGGGATGGGCTTTGAGGTCCCTACCACAATGTAGTGATTCTGATCTGTAGTGATTCTGATCTTTAGTGATTCTGATCTGGGCTTGCTGAGGTCAGTCAGCCTGAGGAGCTGCTGCAAATTCAGGCTGAAAGATGAGTGCTCATAATTTACAGTGTGTAAAGCAAGTATGAATGCTTAAAAAATTATAATGCGTGATTGTGTGGGGGTTTTTGTTTTGTTTTGTTTTGTTTTTTAAGGAAAGGGATGCGGTGAGGTGCTTCCTTTAATTTTTTTCTGAATCAATGTTATTTCTCACTTACAGCTTAGTAGAAACCTTATTCTGCTCTGGCTGCTCAAAGACCCTCGGCAGCATCTACAGGTGCACCTCAAGGAGCCTGGACTACAAGAGAGATTTGTTCTGTTTCACTATTGACTCCATTGAAAGGTGAGTACAGAATGTTTGTGTGCCAGCCCCACTGCACTCACAGGCATTGCACTGAGGGCTCTCCTGTTGTATCTCTGGGCAGTGCAGAGGTGGCTTTTTCTGCTGCTCTGCCCCAGAGGGGTTTTCTGTATTGCTGCTGTTGGCATCACAGTGCTCAGTTCTGAGGAACATCACCGTGTAAGGCAAATCCTAGGGAAAAAAACACCCCAAACCAGCCAGGTCTGCCTTTGGTATGAGAAATTGCATTCCTGCCAAGCAAATACCAGCAGGTCCAGGGCACGGGAGGTTCCTTCTCATTTTCTCTGAGGAGTACACAAGCCAAGCACCAGACAGGCCTGTCTGGAGCCCATTTGGGGTCAGCATTGCCAGCAGGCAGCGTGGCCAGGGGGGCTCAGGCAGGACTCGGGGCAGGTCTGCCCTGTGCTGGCCACATCTGCTCTGTCTCTAGGGTGAGCAAAGGCAAATCTGACAGCTGAGGATGTGCCTGAGGCTCTCACTCAGCCGTTTAAAATCTATCTAGAAAATGAAAGTGTGCTTGGGCTTAGTCGGTTTATAGCACTTAAAAGTGGTGTTAAGGTATTGTTCAATAACCATATAGAATCAAGGCTTTGTGCCAGAGTTCCTTTATGCAAGCATTGTTCTGATGGACAGTGTTCACCTGAACTAGTTTCAATGTCTCTGTTTTTTTCTGAAGTTCCCATTCATTTTGCTGTGGATGTTCACCCTCATGCTCTGGATGGTGCTTCTGGGTTTTTTTCTTAATTCCACAGCTATGATACCTTATTTTTTGGCAGCAAAATTCCCTAAAGCACTGACCTGGCTGCAGAATGGCACTTTCCTTGGAGGGTAATTCTGCTTCTCCCTCCCAGCCAGCCCTGCACTGCTCTCAGTGTCTGTGCAGTTTTCACTGCAGCCCCAGAATCCATGGCTGTCTCTCAGGGCTCTGGGGGAGTGCTGGGTTTGGATTTTGGCTTCAGGGTGGGAATCTGTGCATGATCTGACCTGTGCCATCTCAGCTATATCCTAGGCACCCCGGGAAAGCAAGCTGTCATCCATGAGCAACCACTCACTCTGGAAAGTCAAGCTGTCTTGGAAGAGGTGCTGGAAAGGGTGAGATTTAACCTTATAATTAATGATTTGTTTAATTCCCCTCTGTGAAACCTTATTGTGCTTCATTAGTTTCTGCAGAACAGCTTATTTCACCCAGAGTAATTGAGTGCATTGTAGCTTGTGCTGGTCTGCTTCATGTCATTGGTACCTTGTGTTATGCAAGATTTTCAGTAACTTTCCTTCAATTTTCTTGGTAATTAGCATTTTCTGTCTATTAAGCACAGCATTAGGTTCCTATTTATGTCTCAGTAATTTGATGTGTTGTTTCTAGTTAGTTCTGATTCACTTCTCCAGATCTTCACTTAACTTTTAGCCATGTTTCTTCTGCCTTTTGTGCAAATGGACTGAATGCTTTTGTTGTAGCATTGTATTGAAATACAACATCATAAATCAGGTTGATGTTTTGCTGTACTAAAATCTGGTGACTGCAGGTAGGAAGAGCTGGGAGCAAATAGTGTAAGGAAGTTGGAAACTGAAGGGCATCCAGCAGAAGCTGAGTGTGTGGCTCTGACACCAGGGCTGGAAAAAGTGGACAGTGAGTGTTAGAGCTGGGTGAGCTTTCACAGGAGGAAATGAGCAGGGAAAGAGTCAAATGAAGAGAATTGGTGATGTGAGATGAGACTGGAGCCCTTTCTGCCATCCACACGTGCTCTGTGTGTGTGTGTGACCCACACCTGTCCTTTTGCAGGTGGGCATGCTGCTCAAGGCTCTGGAGACAAGGCTGGGCACGGTGGAGTCGCGTGTGGCTGCCCTGCACAGGCAGGTCTGACAGGAGCCTGCTGAGCTGCAGGAGCAGGGCACAGGTGAAGGCTGGCCCTGCGGTCCCCTGGGATCCCGGGAGCTTTGCACAGGCTGGGGAAGAGCTGGGAGCGTGGGTGCCCTGTGCGGTGGGGGAGCAGGGCTGGCCGAGGCTGTGTCCCGGCCCAGGAGCTCCTCTTGTGTCCCTCAAGAGCAATCCCCAGGGGTTTCTGCTTAATAAACACTTCTGATCAGACAATCTGTAGACTACTGGTTTAATGTAAATACTTATTTAAGTTTTTGTCTCTGGAAGCAAAACATTGATCTCCTGACTTCCCTGCTATTCAGTACTGGGTGGGCATTTTCCCAAGCTAATGAAAAACCTCCCTGTGGTTCTGTGATTTCCAAAGGAGCAACACTGAGTTTTTCTTGTCTCCATAGCTTTAGCTTGACTCGTGCTCAAAGACAGGAACGGCTCAATAACTATATGTGGTGAATTGTGAGTTTGGCAGGGTTTTTTGCAAGTTTGGGGCTAAAATGTGATGTAAGAAAAGGCTTTTTTTGCAGCATTAGATTTTTGCAGCATTGCAGCTTTTCAAGCTTTCCAAGTTGCCTCATTCTGATTTAAACTCTCTTGAAATATGCTTAATATGTTGGGATTTTTCATTGTTATTGTTGTTGGTGGGGTTTTTTTGTGTTTTGTTCTTTTTTTTTAATTTGGTTTTCTTTTTTGTCTGCCTTAGGAAAATTTAACAGATCTCACTTTTTTCTTCTCCAGTTGAGTGTAGTGTTATCTTCTTAATTCAAAAAACATTTGCTGTATGGAAAAAGCACCTTGCCTTGTGAAAGGACAGGTAGGAGCTGTTTTAATGGCCAGTGCCCTGTGGCACAGAGATTCCCAGGCAGTGGGGAGCCCTGTGCCAGGCACACACACCTGGCCAGGTCCCTGTGGGTGCTGCTGCTGTACCTGGTGGTGAGGTGATAACCAGCTTGGCTTTGCTGCCAAAGTCAAACCCAGCAGTTTTCCTGTGAATCCCAAACCGGGCCCAAGGGCTCTGTCCCTCAGCCTCTGCTTCCATTGGTTTGGAGGGGCTGGATCCCAGTTATTCACCCCAGGAGCTGCCCCTCCATCCTTTTCCCCACTGTTCTGTTCCAATCGTGGGAGATACTTGGGTTTTGGTTTTTTCCCCCTGCAGTTCACTGCAGATCCCAAAAAACCCTCAGGAGGGAAGATGTGCTTCCACCACCAGGTGAGGAGCCTGATTTTGGAATGTTTGATGGAATTGGCCCAGTGGCTTTTCCTTCTGGGCTTCCCGTAGTCTGTCCATGGCAGGTCCAGCCTGTGCCTTTAGCTTGGAGCCCTCAGTCCTCAGGGCAATGAACCTTTGGGAAGTTCTTACAGCTCTGCCCAGTGCTGTATGGATTGGGATGAGTTTCTGGAATTAGGCTGTCCATTCTGACCCGTTTGTTCTCTCTCCCTGCAGACTGTGCCTGCTGAAAGGCTGAGGTGACACCACGATCCGTGACATCCCTGACTCCCTGTGCCTTCTTGAGGCTGAAGCCACGTTTGCTGTCAGTGACCACAGAGTGGAAGATGCTACAGACTGAAAACTTGGGCATTTTTCTCCTGAATCCCAAGACTTTCTGCAGCTGTACACTGTCTATCTCTTAAAAGAGTTTCTGGATTTACAAAGGTTTTTCCATTCTGCAATATTTATCTGTAACTCCAGTAAAAAGAGTCATACTGTATCAATGTGGTGTCAATGACTTTGTTTGAGTTGGTTAATTAAAGCAAATTATTGATAAGGGGTTTGAGCATCCCTTAGTTGGAGCCGGCAGCTCTTCTTTATTTTCTCTTCATTCCTTTAATTCCTTTCAATTATTTCTTAAGCAATTACTGCAATTAGGATATACAATAAGGACAGCAGCATTTCTGCCCTGCTGGATTGGGAAATCCAAGCCCAATTCCTTGGAGAGACTGAGGGCATGGCTTTTGACAGTGGGAATTTGGTGAAGAAGAGAGAGGAGAGGTCCCACAAAAAGTGGTTAAGGCCAGTTCTGCTGGCTTTGGGTGCTCCTAGCCCCAAAATCATCCTGGCTAAAGGGAACTTGGGAAAGCAAGGGGCCCTGTGCCCGAGGCCTGTGCTGGGACCCCTCAAATCCCAGCCAGAGGCGCTGGGCACTGCCAGCCTTTTGGGACACGGTTACTGAGAGGCTCCACGGCCTGATCCCGAGGGTTTTCCCATTGTTTCCTGTCGTGCTTAGCACCGGGCAAGGCATTACAGCCCCGCAGGCTGAAAATCCCATGGGAGCAGCGGCAATCACAGACGAGCACACAGAAACCAGGCTGGGAGAGGACACGGGCTGTTCCATAGATTTATTTTTCGCAATGTTTTTTTAATTTATACCAGAATCTCTCCCCTCTCCTCAGATCCCGTATCCTTGAGTTTTGAGTTTTCTCATAAAGACTCCTCGGCCTACACTGGGAAATGATTCCGTGGCCCCGGGGGAGCGGTGGGGTCTGAGGGTCCTGGTGCTGGCATGGGGACTCCCCCCGCCCCGGCCGGTTCCCGGTTCCGTCCGTGTGGAGCCTCTCCCTTCTGGAGCTCCCGCCGCCCGCGGCCGTCCCGGTCCCGATCCCCGCCCCACACCGTGCCCGCCGCGGGAGAGGCGGCACCGCTCGGGACCCCCCGGCAGCCGACACCGACAGGAGCCGAGCCAGAACCCCGGCCCATCCCGGCCCCGCCTCAGCGCTCGGGGCTCCGCGCAGCGCCGAGACCAGCCCCGGTTCGGCCCGGTGCGACGGGCGGGGCCGGTGTGGCGGGACCGGTGTGGGGGACACGGGCGGGGCCGGTGTGGGGGACACGGGCGGGGCCGGTGTGAGGGACATGGGCCGGGCCGGTCTGGGGGACACGGGCCGGGCCGGTCTGAGGGGCAGGGGCGGGGCCGGTGTGGGGGACACGGGGAGGGCCGGTCTGGGGGGCATGGGCCGGGCCGGTCTGGGGGGCACGGGCGAGGCTGGTGTGAGGGGCACTGGCGGGGCCGGTGTGAGGGACACGGGCGGCACCGGTGTGGGGGACACGGGCGGGGCCGGTGTGGGGGACACGGGCGGGACCGGTGTGGGGGGCACGGGCGGGGCCGCGAGCGATGACCCCGCCCCCAACCCCGGGAGGGGCGGGGCAGACTCGGGGCGGGCCCGGGGCTCCGTGAGGCGGGGCCGGGGGCGGGGCCAGAGCTACGTGAAGGCGGGGCTAGGGGGCGGGGCCAGATCTACGTGAAGGCGGGGTGGGGCGGGGCCAGAGCTACGTGAAGGCGGGGCTGGGGGCGGGGCCAGAGCTACGTGAGGCGGGGCCGGGGCGGAGCTTCAGGGGCGGGTCCCGCCTCCGGCTCAGGTGTGCGGGGTTGGGGCCCGGGACCGGCTCAGGTGTGCGGGACCCCAGCGCGGCTGCGCGGGGCGTGGCCGAGGTTTTTTAAGCTCCGGTAATCTCGTTAACCGCCATTTGCTCGCTCGGAGCAGGCTGCGGACGGGTGCCTTTTGTCCCCGCTCCGCAGCTTTTTCTCCTCTCCTGTTCCCTCCTCTACCTTTCCTTTCTCCTGCTTGTATTCCCCTTCTTTCTCTGCTTTTCTCTCTCCCCCCTTTTCTCTCCTCCTCTCTCCTCCTTTTCCCAGTTCCTTCGGCCTCTCCTCCTATCTCCCCCTCTGCCGTTCCTTTTCCTCTCTGTATTCTCCTTCTCTCTCTTCCCCCCTTTCCTCTCCTCCCCTTTCGGCCTCCCTCCTGTCCCCTCCTCTACTCTTGCTTCTCCTCCGCGTATTCTTCTTTGTCCCCCAGACCCTCCCCTCCTCTTCCCGCTACTCCTTTCTATTCCCCCTCTCCCTTCTCTGTCCGCTGTCCCTCTGTCCCTTCACAGCCTTTCCCTTTCGCTTTCCTCCCTGCTATCTCTCCTCTCTTCCCGTTCTGTCCGTTCCTTCTTTCCCCTCAGCCGCGGGGCTGGGGGTGCCGGACAATAATAAAGCCCAGAGGGCCGGAGTCCGGCGCCCCCGGCCCCGCTGGAGCCCCGCTGGTGTCCCCATGCAGTTCCATGGTTGAACGCAGGGGGCGCCGCCGGGGCTCCGCTTCCCCCATCCCACGGGGGCCCCTCGTTTGGAGGGGGTCCCGGGATGGGGGGTCGGGTTTGGGGACCCCCTTGTTTGGAGGGGGTCCCGGGGTGGGGGGCTCCCTCATTAGGAGGGGGTCCTGAGGGGGGGTTAGGAAGGGTCCCCCTCATTAGGAGGGGGTCCTTGGTGGGGGGTTAGGAAGGGGCCCCCTCATTAGGAGGGGGTCCTTGGGGGGGGGTAGGTAGGTAGGGCCCCCTCCGGAGGAGGGGGTCCCGGGGGGGGCGGGGCGGGCCCCCTCCGGGGGAGGGGGCCCCGGGGGAGGGGGGCGGGGCCTGGAGGGGGGGCATTCCCCCCTCCTGGCCCCGCCCCCCTCCCCCGGGGCCCCTCCTCCGGACGGGGTCCCGGCCCTGCCCCCTCCCGGGGACCCCCTCCTCCGGACGGGGCCCTGGGGGGGGAGGGGGGGCGGGTGGGGTGGGGGGGAAGCAGAGGGGGGCACGTCACTCCGCGCCGTGAAACACATACACGTGTAAAAAAACACACACACACACACACGAACAGCGCACACACGAACCGCCCTCCCCCGTTCGGCCCCCCCACCCCACCCGCCCCCCCCCTCCCCCCCCCAGGGCCCCGTCCGGAGGAGGGGGTCCCCGGGAGGGGGCCGGGCCGGGACCCCGTCCGGAGGAGGGGGCCCGCCCCGCCCCCCCCGGGACCCCCTCCTCCGGAGGGGGCCCTACCTACCCCCCCCCCCCCCCCCACAGGACCCCCTCCTAATGAGGGGGCCCTTCCTAACCCCCCCGCCACCCCCCCGACCCCCTCCTAACGAGGGGGCCGCTGTAACCCGCACCCCCCGCCCCAGGACCCCCCCAGTGTGATGTAGGGACAGCCGGAACCCCGGCGGTGTGGGGCGGTGCTTGAACTGCAATGGGGGGACCCGCGGAG